CCTTAGTTTAAGGAGTAGGTTTTTTTAGTTTCATAAAATAACTTCAACTTTCTTTTTTCTCAAAACTCAAAGAGCTCAATTACCAAGCGCATAGAGGCTTTTTCGCATGATGCGCTCTACAAATCCAACTATTATTATTATTATTATTATTACAAACGATTGCGTCAATGATAAATTGGTAAACAAAGCAGCAACCGAATACGAAACACTACTACTAGAAGAGGTAAAAACTAAAACACCCAACACTAAGGTTATTGTTTCTACAGTATACCCAATACTGGACAATGTGAATCACCAATCCATATTGAAAGTTAAACTCACAACTCAAGTCAATCGCTAAAGAACAGAAATGTAAAATTAAAAGACAATGATGCGCAATTCAAAATATCTGAAACTGAAGTATGTCTCAAAGATTACCTTAACAGAAGTGGCCTACATCTCAAAAGGGGAAACATCAACTGCTAAAAAACTTTAACAATGTACATAAGTAATCAGGAAACAAAGAGACCATAAGCAACAGAACAAGTGTACACCAACAAAACGCAATATCGACCGCTAACAACAAAACTATGCTTATCATGATGAGAAGAATTGGACAGGCTATGGTTGCTATTACTAGACTGTGGAGAATCAAACCACTCTACAAGAAATTGCAGATATGGCAACTCTATAAGATGCTTTAATTGCAATGAACTTGATCACAAACTATTTTCGTGAGTCGGTTTTTGGTTGGTTTATGTGTTGGTCTGAATTGTCTTATTGATTCCCCTGTTGCAATAATTTTTTAACTTAATTGCAAATAAATTGTCATATAAATTTTAATTAATTAGCAAATTATTTATTTTTGTACTTGAATTTTTAACTTGATGTTTCCTAATTAAATTGCCTTATTATAGATTTATTATATTTTTTTATGTGTTTGTGATGTTGGTTTTAATGTTTTTCTCCCCTTTTGTTAAACTTCAATTTTGAATGAGAGATTGCAATAAAGTTCTTCGTATTTCGTAATATAACCTTAACATGCGAACTCTATTGTGAACTTCTCTCAGAAGTATTTTGAATGTAAATTTGGCGCAATTCAGTTTATTCTGCAATGCCATTTTATTTTGAATAAACCAGATTTGAATTGCATTAAAAAGTAATTCTAATACAAAATGAAGACAGTAACGCAAATATAATTATTTTAGGTGATTTCGGTAAAATTGGACACAACATTAAACAAGGTGATGATATAACTAACTACAACAGTCAATGTCTATTAAATTTCTGCGAAGACAGTAATCTTACTATATTAAATAGCACTAACAAATGTAGCAGTAAATATACCTGGGCTAAGGGTAGCTCCTCTAGTATATTAGATTACTTACATACTAATATCTCAAAATGTAACATCACTAATGAACTTATCATTGATGAATTGTATATTACCTTGGAAGTGATCATAACATGATGTTATTAGAAGTAGTAGACATAAATTATAAACAAAAAGTAATATTAATAAGCAAGAAAAAAAAATACTATTAATAAAATAATTTGAAACATAAATAAAGATACTGATTGGGCACCATTTCAGAAAGAAATTGAAAACAAGTTTAAAAACTGGGTCCCTCCTCCTTAAATGCCAATTAAGCATGGGAATTTTGGAAAAATGTTATCGCTTCTGCTGAAAATTTGATAGGTAACAAAAACAACAATAGAAAACGCAAAGCATGGTATGATGAGGAAATTTATATTTGTATTGGGAAGAGAAAGGATGCTTGTAGATTACATCAACAATATTGTAAATTTAATACAGGGTAGTGAGTCTTACAATCAAGAAGAATGTGACTCATTGTGGAAAGACTATCAGGAGATACGTAAACAATGCAAAACCTTAATTTAACAAAAGATCGTTACAAAAGAAAGTAGATAAGTGCTCTGAAATAATGAATAGAGGAGGGGCCCAATGCAAAGAATTCTGGTCAGAATTAAAAGGAAACTCTTCTACTAAAACTAACTGTACTAATTCTATCTTTATTCCCGGTACAAATAATACTGTATCAGATAAAAATACAATTAGAATTACATTGAAATCCTATTTTAGTAGTATTAGCAATCAAAATTGTAACATTAGTAAGAATTTTAGTTACGACGATTCAGAATTTATTAAATAATAACTCTAATATCAACATAAATGCACCTTTAATCTAAGACTTCATATTTTCCTGTGAAGATAGAAACAAGAAATATTTCCTATAAAAAAAATGCCGCAACTTCTGTAGCTTATTCAATTTGTGTATACAGCTACTTCCAAATTTATCCTATGTGTAAATTTTGTTATCATATTTAAGTTATCTGTTTCAATAAATAAATCTGTAACTGTATTTTCTTATAGATCAATAAATATTAGTCCTATGTTTATTTATTGTTAAGGACGGGCTTATTTTTGTACTGCAATATGCATCTGTATATGAATTAAAGATTATTTTTTAAATAAGATTTATGTTTATGGTGGGTCATCTAAGATTATGGGTTTTTCTGGGTTGTAATCCCATATGGTAGATTAATTAAGCTGTCACCTAGACTCAAGACTCGACCACGTTGATAACCCTCAGAGGCTTCATCAGCTATTGTCGGTCCACTGCTGGACAAATGTTTCAGTATGTCGACGCCAAATCCATCTTTTTCTCTTGCTGTGTTGCACCAAACCACTGAACCAAACCCCATTTTTACCATTATTGTTATTATTAACCTATTAATAATAATAATATTAATTTTAATATTATTTTATTTATTTGTATTCATTTCCCTCTCCCACTAGCTTGGCTAGGTCTGCTGCCAGTGTGTGGCTATTTTTTAATGGTTGATAAAACATGGGTACCGTATGATATCTCGATAATAGTTAGCCTAACCCTAACCCTCTTCAGTGTAAGGCACCGTATTTTCGACATTAAATGTGGAATACCCTGGCTCTACTCCTTAGCTGGTTGTAGGCCCTAGGTTATGTCGTCAGTTTCTGTGGTTATTTTTTATGGAATTGTCAATGCATAGGTCTACGTACGTAGGTACGACGATAGCCTAATACAGTATACTTTTTTTGTGATAATTTAATTACAATTCCCCCTGACGAACACTGATGAACTGGCTGTAAAGATAGCCAAAATAGATGCTTTCGACCCGATCGAGTTCTCATTAAACAAACATATAGTTTTCCCGTTTCTATTTCATACCCTCTTTGCAGCCGCTGTTTGGTTCCTAAGACGATTTTTTGGTAATTATACCCTCTTAGCAGCCGCTATTTGGTTCCTGAGACGTGTTCACAGCCGCTATTTGGTTCCTAAGACGTCTTTTTAGTAACTGCGCATGCTCGGCATGGCTCGATAACGTCACTCAATGCACATGCTTACTAGCTGTCTAACATTTCCAAGCACATGCTCACTGTGTCTTTATAGATAATTCACAGACGTTATATGGTAACTGCGCATGCGCATTGCTTAGTTCGGAATTCCCATTTCTTCGTAGTAAAAGCTACTGCTACCTACAGTTTCTTAATGACTATTTCCTCTTGATCGTTATAGCCTAAAGATGTGGCGCGAAAATGCTGTACTTAACTGTAAAAATAACAAGAGCCCTGGTTTAGATTGTATTGCAACCAAAATACTGTAATGAAAAATGGCAGTGATGAAATTATATTTTTTTTATATAAATTATTTAAAAGATTATCAATCTTGGAAACAATACCCAATGGATTGAGTATTGGAAAAATCATTCCAATATATAACAAATGTGACTGTAGAGATTTAAATAACTATAGGGGTATAACTCTAAACTCTTCAGTATAAAAGGTGTATAATAAACTTATCTCCCAAACAGTGTCAAACTTCCTTGAAGAAAATAATTTACTATCAGAAGTACAAGGAGGATTCCGCAAAGACAGAAGGTGTGAAGATTACATTTTTATACTTAAGAGTATTATTGCTTGTAGACAAGCGGAAAATAACAAAACATACCTTGCTTTTATGGACTTTAGTGAGGCTTTTGACACCGTTTGGAGAGAATGACTCTTTTATGCAATAAACAATATAGGCATTAAAAGTAAACTATTGAACACTATTAAAAACTTATATATATAAAGATGTAAAAGGAAAAGTTTCATTTGGAGACCATGAAACAGATATTTTTAACGAGGCACAAGCGAGGCAAATATAATAAGACAGGCTTCCATTGTAAACTTTGCGCATCCTAGCAGCTCCCCATTTCAATACTCTTATGCCACTGTGATCATAAAACGTATAAACTCTTGACTGTCAGTGTCAGAAAATATTGCTAAACCATGCAAACCTCCACAAACCCTGCATACATCATGCAAACCACTCAATTGCCCAGTATGTGGGCAATCAAGTGGTATCACAAGTCAAGTACCTTATGTGGCATATCTACGACACAGTAGGCCTACATGGCCACATAGAGACCTGCTCTGGCAAAACCAACTGTTGTCGGAAAAATACAAAATTCTGCATGAATTGTCCTTTAAAACAGGTTTATTTGATGAGAAATTGGTTGAGTATTAGCGAAGTTATGAATATTTAAGCAGGGGAAATTTGGGGGGGCACCACCCCCCAAAAAAAAAAAATTAAAAAAAATTTGATACCCCAGAACGTCTCAAATGTTATTTTCAGGCGTGTAGACCACAAACATTTCGTGGGGGCATGCCCCCGGACAGTGTTGTCTCGATCCGCCCAACTTTTGGGTGCCCCCATCCCTCCCTTTTGGACATCTCTGGATCCACCCCTGTTAAGCTATTGGATATCAGCCATTTAGGTTTTGAGAAAACAGCTTTCAAACGTATCGAATACCATTTTTGCAAACTGCTTTCTGAAAGCACTACACATTCCACCAATCCTGCAATATTTAAAAACTTCAACATCCCTCTTTTTAAAAACAGAATCTTCTCTGCAACCTTGGGTAAATTGTCCAAATGGAATTTCACCCTCTTAACACCTCTCTTCCATCAAACCACCATTGCTCTACATCTCTTCGCCACTCTAGGGACTCTGCATTCCTACCTATCGCATGTAGAAAATTCTTGTTTTGCTTCATCTTTTCTTCCATACTCCTTGAAACTTGCATATTCTATTTTTATTAATCCATCTCGGATTTGCCCATTCACTGTCAAACTGCTCCTCGACCTGTAATTCAACAATTGTTGTAGTTTTCCCATATTTTTTATAGGCCTATATCAATGATTTCTTTTGTGAATTTCGTATCTTTTTTGTGCATGTTTATAGCGGATATTGGCCAATGATGGCTTTCGAAGCAATACAAGAAATTGAATTGAAAAAAAGTCTCCAAAATCAATAGTTTATATTAAAATTTGCATTTTTAAAATAATTTTAATATAACTTTCAGTTACATTTAGTGATTCATATTTTGCAGAATTGTTCTTCAATATATCTTCTTTTATAAAATGCAAAAACCTGAAAATGTTCAATACTCTGATTCTTGAACATTTCTGGTGCTAGAGCCAGTCACATTTTGTCTCATTTAATCTCACTACAGTATGGCTGTATGACTGAGATTGGGGTAGCTGTATAACAAAACTGAGGTCATTTTTTAGTATTTCAACCTAATTAGTGGAACTAATTTTGGTACCATGGGAGAGGGGGTGGTGTTGCATCAAGTAAATTCCAATACTGGTGTATTTAATTTTTGTAAAATTTCTTCTTTTTTCCCTTAGAACAAATAGAACAAAGTGAAGTTCAAACAGAAGTGGTAGTGGAAGACGTGACTCAGACAATTACTGTCTCAAGTGACACAATGACAGTTACTGTCTCAAATGACACAATTCCATCTTCCTCACAGATAGAGCAAAATGAAGAGGAAGCTGTTGCAATTGATACTTTGCTATCAGAATTGTCTGCAGTCGATGTTCATACTTACAAGATTCTTCCAGAAGGTTCCCAACGTCATAGACCCCTGTTGATTGATAGCTCTGGCAACAAATATAATAAAAAGCCAATAGACAAAAGAACAAACTCAAAAAAAATTACATGGACCTGCCATGTTCGTCGTAAAGGAGTTTGTTGTCTTGCGAAGGTGGCCCAGATCGGTGACACTTTCATTCCTGGCAGTCAGCCTCACAATCATGCTGCTGTTCTGAAAGCCAAACCCCCAAAACCAGAGAATGTTGAAGGTGTAAAAGTTATTCAACCAAGACACCCAAAAACCATAAAGTTTTATATGAATGGTAAACATGTCCCAACTGATTTCTTAATTGCAGATGTTGAGATTCCCAATGCCCGTCATTTACTCTTCGCCACACCAGAGCAGCGTAAAATACTTAAAAAGTCTAAAACTCTGTTTGCAGATGTAACATGTAAACTGATGAGAGACCCATTTAAGCAGATATTCACTCTCAGTACATATCTCAAGGAAGATGATAATGTTAAGCAGTACATCCTGCTATTTGTTGTGATGTCAAGGAAGACGACTAGTGATTATATAGCAGTTTTGGAGAAAATTGGAGAATTAATACCAAGGCTGAAGGTGAAGAAAGTAATACTTGGTTATGATGAAGAATTGTGGGAAGCATTTGATACGATTTTTCCAGATGTAATTCTGCAAGGTTGCGTCTACCATTGGACAGAGGCTGTCTACATGCAAGTTGTTAATCTTGGTTTAAATTTATCATATACTATTTCATCGCCAGTGTTCACACACATCAAGGAACTGCTAGCACTGCCATTTTTGCCAGCAGAGCACATCCTCACCATTTTTCAGGAAATCTCAAGCAAAGCACAACCAGCACTCCTACCACTTATTGAATATTTTCAAGAAATGTGGATGAATAATCCTCAGTGGCCTATAATCTCATGGTGCGTTTATGGTATGGCTACAAGAACAATTAATGATGTAGAGGGTTGGCATCACAGGCTGGTCCCAAAAGCCAGTCTTAACCGCTTGATTGGTCTGCTTTGGGAAGAAGCACAGCTGGTGACCCCACAGAAAAGACCTTTCAACTTTGAAAAATTGACTCGTTATCAAAGAAAATGCAGAACCACAAGACAGTCAAAGTTCTTTAAACTATGGGCCAAGTATGAAAATGAAGAAATAACACTTAATCATTTGCTAAAACTATGTTGTAATCTTAATAATCCGTTGTAAAGCCACCTAATGAAAGGATGTCAAATAATAATAATTTGAGTTATTAGAACACACCACCTATATATAGCCCAGAACAATATTTTCACTCTTATTGGGCACACCTAAATGTAGCTAAATTATATATTGTTAACATAATTATGTAATCAAGGGCTTCTTGTTTTTTTTCAAATGGGTTATTTTCAACAAAAGAACCCATGATACGATCTGATTTCTGTAGTACAGTATAGTAATAAACTTTACATTTGCTTATTGCTGACAATAACATATATTTAGGCCAAGACAGTACAGTACTGTACACTTTATGGTGGCATAGCTCTGATTTCACCTTTGTTATACTCAAATAATTGTTGGCGATCTATATGTGGTATTTTGCTAACAAGGAATACTTTACTGTAATAAAATTTTTCATTTGGGAGTTGGGGGTATATGCACACAAGATATTTTTGTTGCTAGATTCATATATCTGTTTGGTTTCATTGAAGTTGAGTCCAATGTATTAAAGAGCTTCCTCTGAACCTTAAGCAATCACTTCACCACTAAGACACACCTTTTTTAATTATCTCTTTTTTGGAATGACACCATGAGCAATGACTGTTGGAATGGTGTCATACTGTACTTACTGTAAATGGAATGATTCATTGATTGACATGTGTATATGCGTGTATAATAGTTATTTTGGAATATTTCACTGTAATTTATGTTTTTTGGGTTGCACACAAGATATTTTTGTAGCTACTGTAGGTGTTTAATTAAATTTCATTTTATTTGGTTTTATTTAAGTTCAGACCAATCTTAGTAACAGCTAATTAGAATAGAGTGTAAAACATGTTATATCGTCATTGTAGACTTATAAAATCCGCATACGCCTTAAAACTAAAAGAAAATGCATACTTTTGGAGTCCGTACTGAGCCCAAAAAATCCGCAATGAAAATATAACGTGTTGTAAACTCCATATCAAATTCTTTTTCAATCTCATGTGTAACTATTATGTTTTATCCAAATTCTAATAAAATATTCATGCATTAATGATGTATTATTAGTCAAATCAACAGGAAAATACCTCAGCCAACAAAAAAGTAAAATTTTGAATTGCTCATTTAAAAGAATCAGATAAATTATTAGCTTCCAATGAGAAACGGTTTGCGGTAGAAGCGGTTTGGCACAGCGGGAATGGATTGGTTTCCCAACCTAGAGGTCAGGTTTAAATCCCTCGCTGTGCATTTTGATTGTGTACTTGTGCAAGGCACTTTATCTACATTGCTTCTCTCCACTTAGGAGTATAAATGGGTAGTTGGTGGGGTTGCCTGCTCCTGCACTAATTACCAGCAACAACACTTAAAGCCTGTGGATGCAATGACCAGGAAAAAGAACTGTGCTTTTTAACCTAAACGAAGAGGTGGATTATAAATGCCTATATCATTACCAGAAACAGATCCAAAAAAGGTAGTTTTCACCGATTTACAAAAGTTTTACTACAAAATATCCTTAAATTGATTACCAGCCAATTTAAGGATCTATGAAATTGAGTATAGGAAAATTATTTAATTGTCTGAAAATTGACACAGGAATTCGTTTTCTCATCCAAATATTAATAACTTACTTGAATACAAATTAAGCAATTCAAATAAGAAATTAAAGTTTTCAATTTTTTAACCTCATGAACACAATGGAAGTACTACTGTACTGATAAATACTGTATATTGCGTGTGCTTTGTATACAGTTGATTAGGTTTTAACATGGTTTACAGTTGTTGCTTTTAAATATACAGTAAATGTTAATTCATTTGCCTTTATTCTGTTTTCTCAAACAAATTTAATTCCAAAGAATTGGATAACAACAATTATCAACTACTATTTTACTGGTTATCAGCATCATTATGCTAGGTGACATATTGCAAAGAACTGCTAGTAACCTTATACCCATACATAGTGGCATAACCTCATTTACTTTATTATGGTAATGAGAATATGTACCTCAGTGATGTACTTGTAACCTTAATAAAAAGCAGCCATGTGTGTATGTTTTGTTTTATTTTCACACAACACATGGACCCAGAGGCAACAGAACTAGTAGGGTGAGGTGTGTGACAATACATAAAAGGAGCATTTATTTGGAAGGGGGAAAATAGACAAAATGAAGTTGATTGTTACGAGACGAGACATACTGTAAAACCAGGGAGAGTCACCTTATGTTGTACTGAATCTGGGTGCGAAACATTGGAGTTGTGTGGTATGGGGAGGTGGAATTGTGTGAAGATGGTCGTGTGTGATCCAGTTGCACGATCATCTTTAGTTTGTTGTAGAATTTTGGACATGGACACAAGTGGTGAGAGTTAGTCATGATTGTTTTTATATTGTTTGTGCTTCATTTGGGTCAAGCTTGCTAGTCAGAAGGTTCGCTATTCATGAGGTTCGCTATTCATAACATTAGCTTACCCTATACCAGAGGGTCGTTATTCATAATGAAGAAAAGGGTTCGCTATTCATAATAAAATAGAGGTTTTCTATTCATAATTAAAAAAAAGAGGTTCGCTATTTATAATTTTAAAAAAGGGTGTTCGCAATTCATAATATATAAAAAAATTCACTAGGTAATAAATCAATAAAAAAAAAAAAAAACCGTTTGTCATAATAAAAAAAAGCTAATTATAGTTTGAAAACAAAAATGGTTTACTGCTCATTACAATAACAGTGAAAGCTAGTCATAGTCCTGCATTTCGTAAATTTTACCCCCAAATAACGCCTCTCACGTGCACTCCACCCGGCACAATTTTCGCCATTAAACCACCACCTTCATTATTGTCATTCTTTGAGTTTGTTTTTAACTGTAATTTTTTTTTATTGATAATGTCAATAAATAAAGTGTACATACTCGATTATAATTATCATTTCACGTGAAATGAAAATTATAGTACTTGTACAACTTTCTTGACTTTGACCGGATACTTCGTAACTCTTTATTCAGGAAACAAGCGAAGGGGAGAGGGGTGGTGAGCATTGATATGAAGATGAGTATAGTACTTCACATGACTCTGAAGGTAGACCTTGTAAACAACTGCTTCAAGTGTGGTTTTAAATTATATTTAATAGTTATTAATTCAAATATTTTACGTGTTGTTTAAATATAGACTTTATTTTTATATTTTATAAATTTTTATTTTTACATTTTAAAAGCTTCGGATATTTAAGAAAATTCCGTTTGTTGACTTCCTATTATTTAAAAAGTTATTAAAAAAAAGTATTACAATTAAATTTGTACTAGCGTTGGGACTTTTTTTTTATTATGAATAGTGGACCTCTTTTTATTATGACTAGTGAACCTTTTTTTCTATGCGACATATTTTATTATGACAAGCGAACCTTTTTTTAAAAATTATAAATAGCGAACTTTTTTAAATTATGAATAACGAACCTCTTTTTTTAATTTATGAACAGCGAACCTCTTTTTTAAAATTATGAATAACGAACTTCTTTTTTTTTTGTATTATTATGAATAGCGAAACTTATGACTAACGGTCCTATTTTTCTATTATAAATAACGAACTCTTTTCTTGCTTATGAGTAATGAACTCTTTATTATGCTAGCGAACCTGTTATTTTATTATAAATAGCGAACCTTAAATAAATAATGAGCTTTATGAATAGTGAACCGTATAAACAATTGTCTTTATAACTAGCGGACCTTATGAAGAGTGGACCTTATAAATAGCGAACCTTATGACTAGATAGTATAAAGTGAGAGTTTCATGCAAGCATGTTCATAAGGTCCACTGTTCATAAGGTCCGCTAGTTGTAGGGACAATTGTTTATAAGGTTCACTATTCATAATTCTTTAAAAAGTCCACTATTCATAAAGCTCATTATTTATAAGGTTCGCTAATTATAATAGAATAACAGGTTCGCTAGTCATAAGGTTCGCTAATTATAATTAAATAACAGGTTCACTGGTCATAATAAAGGGTTCATTAGTCATAATCAAGAAAAGAGTTCGTTATTTATAATAGAAAAATAGGACCGTTAGTCACTGGTTCGCTAGTCATAATAAAAAAAAGAGGTTCGCTATTCATAATATAAAAAAAGAGGCTCGCTTTTCATTATAAAACAAGAGGTTCGCTAATCACAATAAATATTGACATAATCAATAAAAAAGAATACAGATAAAAACAAAAGAACTCAGGGAATGACAATAATGAAGGTGGTGGTTTTATGGGGAAAATTGTGCCAGGCGGAGTGCACAGGAGAGGGGTAATGTGGAATTGAAATTGACGAAATGCAGGATTATAAAATAGCTTTACACTCTTTTTTAATGACTAGTAAACCATTTCTGTTTTCAAACTATAATTTGCTGTTATATTATGACTAAAACCTTTTTTTTTTATTGATTTACAAACTAGTGATTTTTTTAAATTATGAATAGCGACCCCCCCTTTTTTTATTATGAATAGCGAACCTATTTTTTATTATGAATAGCGAACCTCTTCTTATATTATGACTAGCAAACTTTATAAATAATGGCCCTTTATTTATATTATGAGTAGCGGACCCTTTCCTTGACTATGACTAGCGAACCTATTCCTTGTGGTCCTTTTATTAAATTATAACTAGTGACCCCTTTTCTTGATTATGACTAGCGAACCTTATGAATAGCGGTCCTTATTTTTATGAATAGTGAACCCTTTTCTTCATTATGAATAGGACCCTATGGTATAGGGTAAGCTAATGTTATGAATAACGAACCTTATGAATAATGAACCTTATGAATAGCAAACCTTATGACTAGCGAGTTACCCGGGATACCAAACCGTTCCGGCCCGCTGCGCCAAACCTCTTCCAATAATAAGTATATCGGCATGAAGTTGGTTACTTGATCCTCGATCGAACGAGGAACGAGTATAACCAACTTCAAGCCGGTAATAAACAATGTATATTATAACTATTACTGTATTATGCTTATTTCAAAGTTTAAAATCACAGTGTCCATTACGTCAGATAACGTCTAGGATTCGAAACCTACCGGTCTGCAAAACTGTACAACTACGGTATAGATCATCAAACTCTTCATCTCACGAAGTAAAAATTATTCCATATTTCAGCTTAATCGAGGGGAAAATAATGACTTTACTGCCGATTACGCTGGATTTTTAGCTGTTTTGAACACGTTGCACACAGTCACTTAGATTCCAGTGGTTTGACTATAAGGCCATGTAAAAAAAATGTTGTTGATCGTTTCCTCCCTACATAAAAAAAATCACCAACAAAGGCCGTGTATAAAAATATAAGTTGTTGAAAACCTCCCCTGCCTTACGACCGTTCAACAATTTTTTTACATGACCTCAATTTCAACACTTTTGAACTTTTCAATGTGGTCAACAGTCCTAATTCATCACTTTGTGACAGCAAAGCAGACCTTTTTACCTCATAGACCTTAGAGCAACGGCGGCGGAAGCCACTTTTTCTACCCCCTCCCACTTTTGAGGCTGTTCGAAGCACCAGTGACAAACATTTTACGAACGCTGCAATGTCATTATTATTATTTATTATTTATTTATTATTATTATTATTATTCTTTGGTGCTTTCACCTTGTTTATTTGCGCCTTAAAAATTGACCTATTATTATTATAAAATATAGATTTTTTTCATTTCTTAACGAACATTACAAGTTCCCTTTTTGAGTTGAGCAAGCAAATGTTGATTGACGTCTGTATACGTGCGTCTGTAAAGTTTCCTTGAAACCCACTTTCGAGCATGAAGACAAAATCGCCTGCATTCGTGAATTCTGTATTTAGGCATATGGGGGGAAGTAGGCACTCTTAATGGAGCGAAGTTCTAGTTCTCTTTATGCTAACCACGAAGATGTATAGTAAGTGTAACTGATTGACTTCAGTAAACCTTCAAACTAGCGTAATATAACCGCATTTAAACTCCATCTAATTTAACGAAAACAATAAGATACTCAGGGACGTATCTAGAGGGGGGGGGGAGCCGTGGGAGCCACGCCCCTCCCCCACCCCTTTGTACACAGTGTAAAATAATTTTAAAAGCTTTTTTTTTTTGAGCGAATACAAATTATTTCCTGGGACCACTCAAAATGAATACTTCTAAAATACGTAAAAATGCATCAGTACTTGTTTTACATAGGCCTGGCCTACTATATTATAACACATGTCTAAGCGTGATTTTTAAAAATCCATAAATCCCAGGCCAAGTCTTTTAAGATACAGAAAATCCCTGATAAAAAGACCATGAGATTTTTTTTTTGGCGCTTCATTTTGACTACCGGTAACGGTGATGTGATGATAATGAATTTTACTAAAAGTGTTGTTTCTGGCCATCTAGAGGTACTATTTCTCACATTTTCGCACCTCAGCTCCAACCATGGTGAGTCTGAGGTGGGTGTCGACTCACAAAATGTCCTCCCCCTCCACCTTTCAAAACAGATCTGCGCCCTTCCCTAGGTGTGACATTAAACTGCGTCGAGTCGGCACCTGACTCAGAGTGT